TATTAGTTATATCATATTAGTATATCATATTAGTATATCATATTAGTTATATCATATTAGTATATCATATTAGTTATATCATATTAGTATATCATATTAGTTATATCATATTAGTATATCATATTAGTTATATCATATTAGTATATCATATTAGTATATCATATTAGTTATATCATATTAGTATATCATATTAGTTATATCATATTAGTTATATCATATTAGTATATCATATTAGTATATCTTCTGGTTGGGTTTTTTTTTTACTTACCTTTTTTAAAAGATTTTTTTTTTAAATTTGGGAATTTTATATATGAGTTCTGTAGTTATATAATTTCTACCCTGTCTTTTGTGCCAACTTCTCCTATGTCCACCCCTCCCTCATTTGTGATTGAATAATTGTTATTTACACACACACACACACACACACACAGCCTACCAACTCCATTTAATGTTGCGTGTATAGGTTATAGGTTTGTGTGTTGGGCTGCCAGCTAAGGGTTGGATACCTTATCAGCAGCAGGCTTGTACCTAGAGAAGACTGCATGGCCCTGTCTTGTTAGCTCATACTTGCCTGCCGCTTGTCATCCAGGGGCAGGGCCCTTGTGAGGTGTCCTTTGTCCACACTGGCATGTTTGTATTGTTGAGATTTTATGGTAAAGCTCCCTGTCAGACAGAAGACACGACTGTACAGCAGACATTCCTGTCCTCAGTATCCAAGAGTCTTCCTGCTTCGTCTTCTGCGATGTTTCTGAGCCTTAGGTGTAGGCTCAGTGTGTTTATATTGATTGCAGCTGGGCACCCTACGGTCCACTGCTCTTCGCTTTTTGGATCAGTTGTGAATTTTTGTAGTGTCTCTTTCTGACACACAACGAAGCTTCTTCGATGAGGGACGAGAGCATCAGTTATTTGTGGCTATCAGGATAAATATAAAACAGAAAATATATTGGTTCGGGATAATGGTAGCAGGCTTTCCTGTAGGGAGACTCTACCAGCTACAGGTAGTTGACTAGGTTTTTACCAGGCTTGAATTTTCTCCTACTGGACAAGCCTTGGGCCCTGTTAGACAGTTGTTGGTTACACTTAAGATGTCAGTGCCACCATTGCACCGTGGTGACAGCTTGCCATGCTGCTGGTGGGTGAAGGTCTTACGCTTTATCATTAGGTAGCACTGGCGATTGCTTTTCTTTCTTGGCAGCTTGCATAGAATCATGAGGTGTGAGAATTAGTCCTCCTTCCAGGTCCATTCCATCTTAGTCCCTCCAAGTCCATGTCCAAAGTGTGTGTTGTCTTCAGCCATAGCTATTACCTTCAAGTTTAGGGAAGCAACCAAGGGTAACACCAATAACCTCTCTATAATGTTGGGAGTCTCTTTGACTCTCCTGGACAA